GAAGAATACGTCACATCCGGTCGGCCTAGCCGCAGAAGTTCAGATATTTCAACGAATCCAAAGCTCAATCGAATCCAATTTTCCGCACACGCATATGATGCACTGAAAAAAATAATATGCTTATCTAATCAATAAAATTGTGGCAACATATTACAAACAATATTATTAATTAAATTGTACAAATTAGAATTAATTCGAATATTAATTTGATTAACTATTACTCAATTCTAATTTGTTCAATTTAATAAATAATATTGCTTGTTGCCACAATTTTATTGATTAGCTAAAGCATATTAATTTTTAAAGTGTGGGAACTCCCCGCAGCTCCCGTACGACTCTCCAGTGGAAATGAATGACCTCCGACTCGTCTATGACGAACTCTGAGTGCATGTTTCGGGTTTCATCTGTTTTTTTTATACATTGACATTGTGGACGGTTGTATATATTAAGGGTTTCACTTTCACTACTGTTTAAACTTGGATGGCTAGCCATTAACACATCACCACCGATTGGAAATACATGTACAATTCATACTTATAAACGCCTCTAATGGCAGGAAATCTCTGAAATACGGGCAGTAAAGCCAGAGGACAGGGAAACACTGCTCATTTCCTCAGTGTCACATTTAAATATGGCCTTTAGCTAAACAAAGACATGAAGCGAGCAGCTTTCACAACACTGAGCGCAGGATTGACCAGAGCCGCGACCTGGACACAGGAACGCTACCAATCCAACATAACACACATTATCAGAGAGCCAGATAAGGACCTCTGGAGGAACTGACCCTTCCTGAACCATACAGCAGAGTCGTCATCGTCAGCATTATCATCATCCAGGAGCAAAGGGCAAACCTTATGATTCATCAAAATTTACACATATTCAAAATCCAAATGTAACACTTTTTTAGCATTTACCATAATTATATATAACGCATTATTCTGTTTAGCTTTTCATTATTCTGAGTCGCAGCAGTATTTGTCTGCAAGTCAAACATTTTAAGTTTATCTCTTTTGCATATATGAAAAGTCTAACGATCACACGTCACTCCTGCACACATTACTCACACACACACACACACTTAATTAACAGCAGGGATTGTGTTAATTGTGGAGGAGAGAGCACTCATTGGTGGAATTCATTAACACTGAGGTTTAGGAAGGATTTGTGCGAGAAATAAAATGCAAATATGATCAGGGATGGAGGAAGGCTGCCGAAAACACGACATCGGTCGACTCGTGTTTATCCATGTCTAAAAACTCTAGATGACCAACCAAAACTACACTAAATCAATGCGCTCTTCTTCTGAGATTATATCTGAAACACTTCTACAACACATGAACTGCACAACACACGTGATCAGGTGACTCATTTCCCTCCATATCACTCCTGTTGAAACTGAAAGAGCTCCGCCTCTAGATTCTGATTGGACGACACGGATTATTATTATTCATAATCTAGTCTTTTATTTAGATAGAACGAGTGATGTGTCTGATCGACAGTGCTTGATATGTAGCGCTCCGACTCGATCATATTAATAATTCATTACATGTGGTACTCAGAGCGCTTCACACACCCCCAGTGTGCTCTCTGGCCCTATATAGGGCGATAGGACCCACACAGCGCCCCCTGCTGGCCTCACTGACAGCGACCTGTGTCCCAGGAGCCTCAGCGGGAGAGCAGTCGGGGATACTACTCAGGGCTCTAGGGTGCGACCAAAATTTGTTAACGTTTTAAAATTTTAACGTTCCCGCATGATCGCATCCGCTGACTCTCCGCAAACGAGTCTTTTGTTCTCCTTGCACGCATGGTAAAATGCTTCGTGCTGTGTGATACGAAATAAATTACGACCTGAACACCGGAGAATCAGTAACGGCAATCAGCAGCAGAAGAAACAGACGACGAAGAAACTTTTAAAATGTAGGCTACTTTTTAGGGCTAGGTAAAATATACTCTCATATTCAAAAACTAGTTCTCATTTTACGAACCCGTTGGGCTGTGCTGTTTTCAGTCGATGGGTGAATGGAAGATTGTAGCGCGTAAAGCGCATCTCATCCAATAAATCGCAATAATCTTTGTACTTTGTTACTATTGATATGAAACAAAGTCTCAGATTTCAAATTACGTCCATTTTCTCACGAAATTCAAAAACATAAATAGTGTATTGACGCTGTGGCGTGAGATCGCTCTGGTTCAGCTCAAGAAAATCAGCAACGCGGAGCACACATGAGCATCTCTTCCGCCTTAATAAAACCAGTCACAGCGCGAAATAAACATGAACGAGCATCTGAAAGTGTGTTTAAAGATAGAGTACAACTTATCGAAATCCGTATCTTCACATAGAATCGCTCAATCAGTGATTCAAACGTGGAAAGACGTCAGTGAACATCACATTTACATATTTTCATAAACTCGTTAGCCAGCAAGAAAAATTAACTCTAGAGCAGCATTTTGCCAAATACATGCACATATTCATTATAATTTGTAATGTTTTTCAATATTTAATGCATGTTGTTTGAAAAAATCTGGCAAGTTTTTATGCAGCCACCATTTAAATGTTTATATTTCATATAACATTATTATTATAAAAATAAATAAAAGTGTAATTTAAGTGTTTGGTAACGCTTCCTTTTACAGTACAGCACTTACAGGGTACTTACCTAGAAAGTACTGGCTAAGATAAGGTAAGTACATGGAACAGGGGTAGGTTTAGGGGTAGTACTAGTTATTACCCAGTAATTGTAGTTACTAAAATAAGTACATAGTATTTTAATTGGTAACTGGACTGTAAAAGTAAGCGTTACCAAGTGTTTGTGAACACTTGCCATGTATTGTACCTGATATCCAAAATAGTCAATATTGAATCGATTTGTGAAATTGGTGTCAAAACCCTGCCCTAACTTGAACAATGTAAAAACAGCACTTTAAATTTAGATTTTTTTTTAAAGATTTATATTTTTATATACATTAAAATTGTACTTATTCTTTTATAAAAGCATTTACATAATATATATGAATATATGAAGAGTTCAGATGCAAAAGCCTCTAAATGCCATTTGAAATTTTCTTCTTTAATGATGATTTTTATCAAACTTGTATATTTATGTTCAGTAATTTCACTTAAATAACAATTAATAGGTAATTATCATTGCCATTTAAGTGAAATTACTGAACTTAAATATACAAGCTTGATAAAAATGACCATTCTAGAAGAAAATTTCAAATGGCATTTAGAGGCTTTTGCATCTGAACTCTTCATATGGAGCGTGAGAAAAAGGTGACCTTGAAATTGTGGTGTTAAAGGTGACGCGAGATGAGAAAACATTTGAGTGCACCTAAATAAAAAAGTTAGGCGCACCAGTGCAACCGAGGCAAAAAGTTAGTCTGGAGCCCTGATGGCGACTTGTGAACAGGGGCGTCAAGATCCTCAAATTATCATGATTATTACTTTACTACTGAGTGGATGATGGGAATAGCACACACACACACACACACACACACACACACACACACACAGAAGTGTTACATCAGTTCCCTGTCTTGAGAAGCACTGCTTCCTCTTCCTCATTACAGGCTCCCTCAGATGATTCCCTCTCCCGTCAGGAGCCCTTTATAGTAGGGGAAGTGATGTCACACTCACAGCCTAACTAGTGACCATGGACACACACACCTCTCTCCACCAGCTGTCTCCAGCGTTTGGCCCACTCGCTCAGCTGCTGCGAGTAGCTCTTCTCGATGCGCGCTCGCTCATGAAGGCAGTTCATCAGGTCGTTGCACAGCCGGTTCCCGTCGTCCACGCGCTTCACCACGCGCTTGTAGTTCCCCACCTGACACACACACACACACACACACAGAGACGTTACACACGCGGTAACGGGACACACACATGCGCGTGCGTGAGACACGTACCTCCCAGAAGCTGTCGCTGGAGACGTCCACCAGAGAGTCGTGGAAGTCCGACATGCTGGAACGACAACGATGAAAACATTTATGACATCATCAAAACAGTGACATCATCAAACACAATCTTCAAAATTTACATTTTTCACAATTAGTTTTAATGGTTAGACTAAATTAAATAATAAATTCAATTATATTAAACAAAAAACATGTCTAAATAATAAAAGTTTAACAAACATTACATTTCAGCGCTCTTTTAGCGTAACCAACTGAACATTTAGCAATCGGTTAACGAGTATATCACACTACTAAACTACAGTCGTAACTGTCTTTTCTCCTCGATTGTGGCGTATATCCGAGGGAAGCGCTTCTGGAACAAGATCAAATGTGGGCGGGGCTTGATTGTGCCTGAGGGAGTTGATTGGACGGTTGTGGTTTGCTATTGGCTGATCTCATGTGAGTGACAGGTTATAGCCCCGCCCACATCATCAGAGAAGAGATGCTGCTGTTATTCTGATTCAACATAATTAACACAACAATAATGGGGTGATCGTTGAGAAACCCAGATCAGAACTGGAAATATGAACCGAGAACACATCGGTGTGTGTGTGTGTGTGTGTGTGAGTTTCAGTTGCTTTATCTCAAGCTGAAGTTCAGATCGCAGTGAGCGACACACTGTTTCCAGGGAAGTGATGGAAATTCCTGCCATTCCTCCAGCAGCGTTCCTGATCCGCTTTATCACACACACACACACACACACACACACACACACACACACACACACACACACACACACACAGAGTAAACTCATACTTTCCACGATTAATGACTCAAACAATATTACATAATGAGATTATTTCACAGTGAGAAAGAGGAAGATGGAAACTTCTAGATGCTGAGCTCTTAAAGGGCCACACACACACACACACACACACACACACACACTTCTGCTGTTGAGAATTACACAACAGTGATTGTTCTTCAACTGATTTAAACACATCCGTGTGTTCGTGTCTCCGCATGTTTGTTAAGTGAGGTCAGAGGAATGTCACATTCCCGAGATGCTCATCAGCACTTGACACACATTTACCTAATAAACCCATATTGCATTGTGATACGTACAGCTATTTTCATTGGTGGAGAAGAAACACATGACCTAACGGATGACCTTACTCTGAAACCGAGCTGTCGCGCCTAAACTCCAGCAACCAAACAGTTACTGATAATATTACATGTTTGCCTAGTAAACAGGAAACATGTAAATATTTTACTCCTATTAAATGTACCGTACTCATCTGACCGAAAGCTTCAGTGATTATAAAGTAGCGCTCTTTACTTTTACAATTTGAAGAGAAGTTTTCGTTTTTCACGAGACTCCTCCGCATGCTCCTCCGCCGCCATCTACTGGTTATAGTGGTAATCATATATTAGCGCTTGCGAATAGCTAATGAGTCAGTTACTGCTCCTCCGCCGCCATCTACTGGTTATAGTGGTAATCAATGTCTGTTTTTAACAACATCTCATGGGAACTTCAATTTTTGTGATATCAACTTCAAACTTGGAAGTTTAAAGATGTTTAAACTAGTTTAAAGATGAACATTAATCATTTGCATTAAACGTAACATGAATAATTTGGACCATATTTAGAGTTTTGAAGTGCTGAATAAATGTGAAACACTTTAAAAAGTCCTTGAAAAGTTCTTGAAACTTAGCATGAACCCTATAATGAATAAAGTAAATTAATCCGGCTAGTTCTCCAGTTAGCGCTGCTACATTACGTCCATGCTGAATGATGCTGATGTGTGGAGTGAACGCCTTGTTTAACTTGTTCATTCGTGGCACAAAGTGTATCTCCTGGTTTCCACATCATTGCTGTGTGTTTAGCCGATTGTTTTTAAGGATGCACACACAGATATGAACATTTCGGCTGATACCGATAATTCGTTATATTTGAAAGCCGATAACCGATATTTTGGCCGATATAATTTTTGAGAGCCTGATTAACAAGGCAAGGCAAGTTTATTTGTATAGCACATTTCATACTCAATGGTAATTCTAAATCTAAATGGTAATAGCTAAAGCATACTCTCCATGCTTAGAGGGAACCCTTGCATATCTGCAATATATTGGTCCTAACCCATTGAATGATATATATACCAGTCATAATACCTTAAATGTAACTGGGGGCCAGTGTAAAGACCTGAGGACTGGTGTGATGTGTTCATATTCAACAAAACAAAAGTTCCAATCACACAATTATGATGATGTCCTCATGATAGTTTTATGAAGACTATATGACTGCACACATGTGTTTATTTTTAACCTCATTTTCTGAATTAATAATGAGAACATAGGGCTGGGGAAAAAAATCGATTTGAGAAAAAAAAAGAAAAAAAAGTTGGCAGGTCAAATCGATTCATATTTTCAAAAAATCGTTTTTTTCCCTCCCCCTCTTCAGTACAGTGTAACTTACGTTTTGCATTCGCCAAATCTTCCACAGGGTTTCCGCAGTTCGGTTACCACAGTCAATACGATGAAACTCTCTCTAAGAGGATTCAATGTTAATACTATTATACTTGATCTGTAGATAAACGTCTATGGTTTCGCATAAAACAACTTTATCTTGCTGGACTTTATTACTGTAACTTAATCATGATGATACTTTCTACCGGGTGTCTGTTAGATCACAACACTAGAGTCAGGGCACTATAATTGTTCTTCATGCGCACAGTAACTGAAAGTTAAAACTGTTAAAAGAAAAGGCTCAATAAACTATTGCATAGATAGATACTGTATAATCCACTGTCCATCAATATATGTCCTTTGTGCTTTGAACTGTTGTTCAGTGAGGACTCGACTCCATGTGTGGCTTCAAGCGCATCATCCTCCGCTCGGGATGACAGATTATTAATTGCCGATCTTGTTCTGTCCTATCGATCATATGTTGCTGTCTCATTAAACGGCTGTGCTATACATTTAAAACATGTCTCAATTGTATAGTAGACCAGACTATATAATAATTGATCTTTTTGATTTTTGTTATCTTGTTTTTCATGAATGTACAACACAAAGAGCAATGCGTAAAGTTTGACCAGATTTAGTGCTACACTTGTTGTCTCTTGTCTAAATGTTTTTTTTCCTAAATGTTCAGATTTTATACAATTATTGTGCACTTGTGATTTTTCTAGACTAAATTTTACTGCTGAATTATCCACTAATCTAGTTTATAATAGCATTTTTGTCATAGATTATGATGATATTTTTGGGGATTTGTGTTTTTTCTTTATAATGAAGTTGTATTAAGTAGATTGTGTTTAACACACACAAGAGTGGTTATCAGTTCAACACACAGAGTTATAGAAATTATTCTTGATTAAAAAAATAAATAAAAAAATCGAATCGAATCGTAAATAGTTAAAATTTTAACTAAAATTTAAAAAAAAAAAAAAAAAAAAAATCACCCAGCCCTATGATAATAACATTAAAGATGAACACATATATTGATATTTATATATCGTGCATCCCGTTTTACTTAACTGGTTCTTCAATAATTAATGTAGCCTATGTCACGAAAACAAGTTATTACAGCCACAGTTTATCAATGCATTGAAGAAACATAATTTTGTTATTAAACTGATACAGAAGCTTCTTATGTGTAATTTAGATGTTTATGAAATATTTTCAGTTTTCACTAAATCAACTTTCGAAGTTCTAGTGTTTTTGATTAAAAAATTAATTTCCGTGCATCACTATCTTGGTCTTGGTGATTATTTCTATTAATATCTCTGTCTGTGTGTGTGTGTGTGTGTGTGTGTGTGTGTGTGTGTGTGTGTGTGTGAGAGAGAGAGAAACCGCTGGTCAATCACAGCCGTAGCTTCATTGTGTTCAGTGAGCGTCACGTCAGCTTCACACTCGAGCACACTAATGCGGTTACACACACACACACACGTGCACACACACACACCTGTGTGACTGCTGAGCACAGGACAGGAAGTTCCTGAACCCCACTGACCTTCACGGTGTGAAATGAGACCTCTCGAAGGCTCGTGTGATCATGTGATCGAGTGCTTGAGTGCCTGATCACGGTTTCAGTGAAGTGTGTGTCCCATTCAGTGGGGTTTAATAAAGCGTTACACAAGCATGAACCCAACCAACACACACACGGCTGAGTGGATGAATGGAGTTTGTTCTTCCAGAACCGACTGCTGCGCTCTATTATATCTGTTACACACACACACACACACACACACACACACACATTAGTCCTCAGAGTCTCAATACTGAGGTTTCAGACACCAGATTATCTCAGCAGTGACGACAGGTGACGAGTGATTGACAGCTGCGTGGACTGATGCACACACACACACCTGATGTTTTTCACCGTCACACATCATGAACAAACACACTGAGGCATCAGCACTGGACACACATGATTAACAACCAACGGCCTCTTATACTAAAATAACACTAATCACAAACACACTGACTTCACCCAACTAAAACTCAGTTTTGCATTGCATATTAAAAATGTCTTGATTTAGTTTTGGGGGTGTACTAGAATCTGTTTTCATGCTTGATTGTTCAAAAACACATTATTTTCCATTATTACAGCTCATCTCCCCCAGTGTGGGCGACACACAGGCCGGTCACGATAACACAACTTGCTGTCCAAGAAATCATTGCGATAAACGATAATACATCTAAAATAATAACGGCATAATAATGCAGAAAGACCAATCATCTCTTATTTCTAAAGACTATATAAGACTGAAAATGGAAAACATTTTAAAAATCCACAATAAATGAACAAAACTTCCAAAAACAATAAAAGCAATGTCTCAGTTAACACAAAATGCACTTGAATAAATGAGATGCGATCTGGGAAAACCCACCACATGGTGAAATTTGACGTATTACAGGTTTTGAGACCCTATTAAACCTGGCTTCAAGCCCTTTCCAAACCTGTTTTTATTTATTTTATAGTTTGTCTGTAACAAAAGTTATGCTTATCTGAAGATTTTCCGAAACAGAATTTTGAGTAAAACAGGTTTAATTAGCGGTCACGTCCTGCTAGCGGGACGACTGTCGCTCCCTTCTTTATTGCCTTTCTTCATATCACATATTTTAGTAGTCATCATAGATTAGGTATCATTTGAAAGCTGACGAACTCAAAATTAATCCTGTGAAAACCGTTTTTAAATCGGACGATTGAGAGGCGAGCGAGATCTATTAAACGAGCAGCTTCAAACTCTGTTATTCTCTTGTGCTCCACATCACACCACACGATAACGCTGGATAAAAATAAATAAAAACTTGCGGGCCGTTGTACTGGACTTTATTCTGTTATGTGGTTTATCTCGATAGTTGAACTGTCTTTGTCGTGTTAAGAGAAGGAGAGCTAAACGGGAGATGATGTTTTTTGCCTATCGTTCTTAAAGACAAACGCTGTCTTTTCAGCTGGACATTATAAATCACTATTTTTCTGCACTAAACCAGTGAATTTTCCCAATATATATTCAGAGATGATAAACAAGATGTTATAGAATAATAAAAACACAATTTTGACAAAAAAACTGACGGGTCTATATTTGAAGAGTTCAGATGCAAAAGCCTCTAAATGCCATTTGAAATTTTCTTCTAAAATGATCATTTTTATCAAGCTTGTATATTTAAGTTCAGTAATTTCACTTAAATAACAATTAATAGGTAATCTTCATTGCCATTTAAGTGAAATCACTGAACTTAAATATACAAGCTTGATAAAAATGATCATTTTAGAAGAAAATTTCAAATGGCATTTAGAGGCTTTTGCATCTGAACTCTTCATTTAGACCTTTCTGAAAACGTACCAGCGGGACATCCGACGGGTTTTCCCAGATTGCATCACAAATACCAAAAACCATAAATAAAATGGATGTAAACAAACCGCCACCAAAATTATGACTTCACAAGATCCGGAAAAAAACTAGTTATAGTGCAAACAAGTCGTCCGATGTAGTTCTTGAAAAGTGGATTCTGGGAAATATAATATTGAAATGGACTTTGAAACTGTTTTGAAAATGTTTTTGATCCTCAAAACGCAACATTACACACTGAATCGAGTTGAAAACTGGAAAAGCATAGGAAGCTGTTCATAAAAACACAAACGGCTTGACTGAACATGAACAATGTTTTTCATGAGTCACGAGTGAGTGACATGACAGAGCAGGAAATGATGTCATGGCGAAGTCAGGTCACGTGGTGCGACTTGCAATTTATATATCGTTTTTATTATTTGTATTAATTAGCCTAGATTTAGTTCTTTGTAACTTCGACTTAACCCAAATGAAAATGACAGATGTTGCCTTTGTGACGTGAATCTCTTTATATCTTAAACCCGAAGTAAACAGCGGAGAAAAGTATCTGGAAGAGACACAACACATCTATCTATTCTCACATGTTGCTTCGTATTTCTTTACAGATTTATGTTAAAATCATATTACCGACTAGCTCTAATCTGATAAATGTGACAATTAAGCATTTTAAGTTTATAAGACACTATATGTCATTGTTATCACGTACATTTAACCACTCAGTAATATTAATTAACATGTACTGTACTTACTATAAAGTTAGGTTCCACGTAATTATGCATAATTTACTGTTATTACTATGGTAAACGTAAAAATTTTTACGTTTACCACCATATTTATGAAGTTTGTGTAAATACCAACGAACTTCAATGTAACAGGGACGATCTCACCTTAATCAAATACACTGATGACTTGGTTTTAAAGGTGCCATCTGGGATAAAAAAATCAAATCATACACCATATTCCATACCAGATGGAGGCAGTATACCTCCAGAAAAATACCTCCGCGGCCGCGCGCACTCATGTCTTCAAACAACACGGGCGAGCGGGTCTCCCTCGCGCATATTAATCAGTAAAACTAATAGTAAAAGGTTGGAAGACCGCAGTTTCACGTGGATCATTTGGAGATTTTCAGAGATTAGAGACTAAATGAACAACATCTCAATACTAAATTATAAAGGCCGTCTCATAGACAAGCCGGTGCATTTTGACAATATGGGAAAATTAAAGCCCAGGCATTTTTATTTTATGGTATTCGTTTTGTTCATGTTACATTTTTATCATTAGTTTTAATTAATTTGACAGACAGCATTCCCTGATGTGGACGAAGGACGAAGGACACGGAGACCGATCTCAGCTCTCAGATTCTGTTCATTTTATTACGCAATTCAAACAATAAATGCAGTTTTGGCGCTTGTAAATGTTAGACGACAGATCCCTAACGCACGTGAACCGATCATCTCTACTAGCTAATGGTAAACGAACATGAACACTGTTGAAAGATATGTTACAACTTACCAAAATGTATTCCTCATGCATAATATCGACCAATCATTTATTTAACTCATCCCTGAACTGAAATTTAGTAGCGGGCTGTATTTCCACACGACATCACGACATGACATCAGGTTCAAGTACACACAAGCCGGCGCGACTTACTCGTGTTACTGCAGTTTGGCTGGTGCTAACGTTGCCCGCCCGCATACCGCCTCCCATGGCCGAAACTGGTATTACGACACCTGCCGGGCCGGGGCTAATAATTTAGCATGCTAATTTAGGTTATATCTCGGCAGCACTATAACTTGCCAGTTTTTTAATGACATCATTGCACTTATTTCTTCTCATTCTTTTGATGTGTGTAGCTCATTTTTTGGATATTTTTACCTCAATTATTCCATATGGCACCTTTAATGGGCTATATGCACGCATAAGTTCTGCATTTGACGTAAGGATGCTCGTCCATTTCCGGTTGTGGAGATTATGTCAGAGTCTTCAATATTTACTGTCCTCCCGTCTTTGAAACGAAACGTACATACGATTAGATGTAATTTTATATATACTTATGTTTATTTAATATAATTTTAAAAAGAAGCATAAACACAACGAGGGGTGTCTGTTTTATCTGTTTTTGTGACTAACGTTTCTTTATTATAACCATGGAGTATAAAATTCAATATAAATTCTCGGTATTGCATTGGACTCTATGATCGGCGGAAGTTATCGAGCATCCTTAATCCTTCACCGGAAATACCGCCGTGCATAGAGCCCATTGTTCAACCTATTTTGAGGATATTAAAAGTCTTGTTCAATCGTTTGAATGAAGGAATTATGCAGAATTATGGATTAAAATTATTATAAACGGTGTAAAGGTACAGCAAGTTGCAACTTTTTAAATATTTAGGAATAATTACTGATAACAAACTCTCATTCCAGGGAAATGTGAAACACAAGAAAACAAGACGGCGTTTAGATCAACTCAGGCAGTTTAGAAACATTATGACAGGAGGATTTACATTGTTTACAGGTCGATGATCCAAGTATTTAACTCAGCTATTGTCTCAGTTTTTAACTATAGCTGTATGTGTGTATGCAGAAGCATATAAGATATGTGTTGTATTCATGTGTGTTACTCATGTGTTTCTGATAGAGTTAAATGAGTGCCTGTACAGTTTTGTTTATGCCATGTGTTAAAGATGAATTTCTGTCCAGTAAATCTGAACAAACTCAAGAAAACAAACAAACAACATGTCACAAGGACACTAAAAGTGTTACAACATGTTTTCCCATATAACTCTAGCTAATAAATCGTTTTCATGTACTTTCATGACAATAATAAACCATCCATAAGCGGTCCTGTCCAGCTTTCCACCAGGTTAAATCAGTTCAAACACATATTTGTAAATATACACAACACTGTGACGTTCCTGAGGAAGATCAGAACGGTCAGTGACGTCATATCGAAACGTTATCACGTCACAGCGACAGATGATCGATCAGAATAACCGGGTTAAAGACCCAGAAGGAGTCAACACGAGCCGCGGAAAAGCCCCACACTGCCCCGCCCTGTGAACACACAGCTGTCGGTGTCGAGTACGCGTGTAGACACACACACACCCGGCGCTGTGGACGGAGACACGAGCGTCTGAAGGCTCGCAGTGTGTGTGTGTGTGTGTGTGTGTGTGTGTGTGTGTGTGTGTGTGTATGAGTGACAGAGTTTGATCCGATGATCGATCAGCATCGGACGCGTCAGAAAGTTTCTTCACACTGCGCAGAGAGTGTGTGTGTAAAGTGCCGCTCGCGCTCTGAATCACAGCACACGCGATGTTTTTATCGTTAACTTACCTGAGTGTGTGTGGCAGTCCCGATCCAACGCTCGCGTGTCTGTGGATGATGTGACGCTCGCTGACTTTCTCCGTTTCTCATCGATACATTCAACGACTGCTGTGAGCGGAGCGGGGACGCGCCTCACTGACGTCACATCCCCTCAGCGAGCGCAGGCGCGCGCTCACGACCTCTGTCACTATTTTTACCAAATCTCTCTGTGGCAGAATGAAATACTACATTCATTTTTTATATTGATTTAATTTAAATATTCGTAATGTTTTTATTTTCTGAAAATGACTAAATTTGCAGGATTGTTCCACTTTAAAAAAAAAGAAAAAGAAACAAAAAAACATAAAATATTATACATTTTACAGTTATCAGTCTTGTATATATCATAGCAAATATTTATACAGTAGACAGTGAATATTTCAGTGGTTTAGTGTAAACTTTTTTACAGTCTATACTGTAAAAAATTTGGAGTAGAATTTACTTGAAAAAACCTTGCTAACAAATCTCACTCAGAAAAGGCTAGTAAAATTTACAAACATTTACTAGCAGCCTTAATTAGAAATGTTTAAGTTAAATTTACTTGGGTTTTCCAAATAAGTTTTATTGACTCTTTGTCTGTAAATTTTACTTAAGTAAAGCTTATAAATGTATTGAGTTTTTTTTTTTAAATTTACATGAGAGTCCTAGTTATATTTTTTTTATTTATCTTGAGTAACCTTTACTTTAAATATTACGTAAACATTACTTACCATTAGTAATACAAATTATATTTTCAATAATAATAATAAAAAAAACAAGACATTTTTTTCTGTTTTACAGTTTTATTTTAATTAAATTCTCGAAAAACAAGTGCACAAAAAAGAAATGGACACATCAAGATTATCTGCTATTGGCCAAAAAATACGACCAAAATTGTTCAGCATCTTTAAACCATCACAGATGTTTTAATGTCTTTGTGTAGGTCATAACAGACCAAACATTTTATGCAAGATGCTTAACTGATCTCACATACAGCATTGAAATAAAACTCTGCTTCTGTTTTCTATGCAAAGAGCTAACTTTTGGAGAAAACTTTAAAGCATCCAGCCCAAGAAAGATTTTTTGAAAGACTTCAAATGTGTTTCTCAGCTTTGGTGGATAGCTTAAGTTCAGGGCGTAAATGAAGCCCATGAGCAGAAGGCACGCATTTGTGAGATTCTTACATCCCAACAGCACCTCAGTTCCCTCAATGACGACGATGACATCAGCGATGTTGGCCTGCAGTGTTGCCCAGTACAATGATCTTCATAACATGATTGGTGATGTTATCTTTAATCATGTCTCTGCTTACATCCTGTCAAAAACACAAATAAGAGCAAAATGATTACAATAATGTACACCAAGTTGCATGTTCTCTTTAATTTTATGTGATAAGTGCCCCATACAGATTTTGTCTCACCATCATTAAATCTGTCATTACATGAAAAGGAAAGGAAAGGGAGGGGAGGGGGAGAATCAAGACAGACAAAGTACAGAGGAACTGTCTGCAAGACACCTAAACTACCTACGAAGCTACAGTACTGTAACAAGGTTAAGGCACTTGTGTAAAAAATCTAAAGTGGCATAGCCTTTAAAATGCTTTCATAACTGAACAAGCTTGGTGTGTTTGTCGCTGTCGTGCTAGCGTTGTTGGGAAAGATGATGACGGTGACGTAAGACCTGGCTCTGTGGTGGCTCTAGCCTGTGGAAAGGCAAACCAGTTCATCGAAAGCTTGTCAGTCGTTCCCTCTCCAAACCGGCAAAAGCACTAGCTCTGAACTAATACCCGGTTCATTCTGTTGAAAAGGGGGTATTAAAATGACCACTGAAGCACCAAGATTTGGTGCTATATAGGACTTAAAGTGCTTCTCCTGTGATTACATGCTAAATAACCATGTTCATGCTATGTAGAACCTTTTGAGTTGACAAACTACAGCACAAAGATATAAAAGAAAAAAAAAATTATGGGCATGAAAATAGTAATGTGCCTTAGACTTTTGCAGGACTGTACATCTATAAAATCAAAACAATTTTAATTTATGCATTAATGTACCTGGTAGACTTCAATGAGTTCTTCAGATGACTCTCCAAGGTAGGAAAGAAGGCAGCGAATCACAGCATCTCTCTTATCTTCAATTTGCTTTTAAAAACAAAAGTAAGAGCAAACATGAACAGTGTACACTTCCATCTACATACAACTGCATATCTATAAAATCAGCAAGCAGCAGGATATCAGATGTGCAATATATAAATTTACCTGGCAGAGTGAATCTAGTAAACTTCGAATTTTTATGCCAGCATCCCCACCCTTCATTCACCCTTCATTACAGTGGAGGTTAAAGGGATAGTTCACTTTGAAATTAATTTTTGATATGTTTTATCTTACTTCAAGGGCATCCAAGGTGTAGGTGTCTTTGTTTCCACAGTATTTTCAATTTTGATATTTATGTCATATAATGGAGGATTTAAAGTCACCACGTCAAAGAGCATGCACAGAGAAGTCCAAATTAAACATGATTTAATTACTCGTAAATGTAAGTACACACTGATGGCCTAAGACACGAAACGAGCGGTTTGTGTGAGAAAATGAACAGTATTTCTATAATTTTTTTACCTCTTGTAACCACAGCCACGTCCAAGTGATCTGAAGGCGCGGGCGCTTTGTGGCTGTGGTTACAAGAGGTAAAAACTATATAAATACTGTTCGTTATCTCACACAAACCGCTCGTTTCGTGTCCAATGTGTACTTACATTTACGAGTCATTAAATCATGTTTAATCTGGACTTCTCTGTGCATGCTCTTTGAGGTGGACCCCCTATACCTCTATTATATGACTGACAGACAACACCGGTTTGACCGAAAAATGGCAAAATTGAAAATACTGTGTAAACAAAGACACCTACATCTTGGATGCCCTGCCTTGAGGTAAGCTAAAACATATCAAAAATTAATTTCAAAGTGAACTATCCCTTTAAGATTTAATTATGTATTTTAACATATGTTTCAATTTTAAAATATGAAACATATGAATATGTAGTGCTGCTAGACCTGTGTTTACTGTATCTTTTGAAGTGATATACTGTATATATATATATATATATACACACACACACAAACCATGTATATGTGTGTGGCTATAGCCAAAAAATCTATTGAAATCTGTGTCATACTGCAAGGTTAATCAGTGTTGTAGGGTGTAAGATTTATTGCCAACTTACCTTGCATGGAGCTTGAATAGTGAGTGCAATCTGTGAAAACATTAGAAATGTTAATGTCAGAAATATATGTTTTACCAATTTTGAATAAATATACTGATCTTATCGATTTGAAATATGAACAGTTATTTGTTTTGGAACAACTGCATTCAAGTAACGTTAGCCTAAGCATCAACATTAAATGTTCAAGACAGCATTGTTAATTGTAACGTTATAGGTTCAATATAATCTCCCAGATAGCAAACTGACATTGAATCAACGTGGAAATATGACATCGAAACAACGTTGATCTGACATTGTTTTGCTCATCGAATTAACGTTGAACCAACGTCAGACGCGTCATTCTTTCAAAACTAACGGAAAATCAACTTGAAATCAACGCGTTGTTTCAACGTTATGAAACCAAACCAATTTTCGATTTCATTTAGCTTTGAAGAATGCCGCGTCTGACGTTGGTTCAACGTTAATTCGATGAGCAAATCAACGTTGTTTCAATGTCATGAGAGACGTCGTTTCCACGTTGATTCAATGTCAGTTTGCTGTCTGGGCTCTTCTTTAACTTGATTATCATCATATGCTTATCTATTTTATCGATAAAACACAGCAGTCTATTGATGTGAATTAATGGGGGATTAACAGTTCTCCGTCACATTTAAAGTTAATTTAATGCTGGGCACGGGTGAGTTATCATTCCAGGCTCGTAACGTTAACCGCGACTTCCAAGGCTGTAGGCCTAAATTACATCATGTCCAATTTTAATTTAAACTTTCATTTATAATTCTGATAACACGCAAGGTCACGATTATTTATTCACAAAGATGAATAAACACACACCCTTGGACGCTTTCTATAGCTATTTGTCTCGACGCGGGGGCAAAGTTCATTTTAAAATTCACTGTAGCCTACATCAAACGTCTCCGTATATTAACGTGTTTATTAACAAACTATATGTAAAATACAAGACAATTGTTTTCGACACAGAGATGGCGTTTGCTAATAACGGATGTTTAAGTTATGCAAAAACTCAACTCTGTCAACTATGTAACAGTTAACTTAACGCTTTACTAACCACCAGCTGCAGATAGGTTCTGCAAATGTAACTAAATCGACCAAATAAACAAATATTTCATAACTTACCGTGTAAAAATCATCAGTCTTCAAGAAAAGTTCCCGTTGCTTTCTTCTTCGCGCCACTTCTGAATCTGATTCTGTACCAAGAAATCAATGCGCATGCGCTTGGATTGCCTGGCTTCTTGGAGTAAGTTTTACTTGCGTTCGTCATTTTTTTGCATTAGTTCATTAGATGACAAAACACTAGTAAATATTACTTGGGCAGTTCCAGTTGAATTTATTTATGTATTTAAGCACAATAAATTAAAAAGAAGCCTCAAGTACCATATTGAATTAAACGTGACATTTTTAAGTAAAAAGAATAAATATGATTTGTTTGTAAAATTTACTTAAATCATGCTACCTTTATTTACAAGGTCAAAAAATCATTTTTTACAGTGCACGATAACGGAGCATGTTACAGTGGGAATCTGCCTTGAACAGCTAAATTGCCTTTTAAATTGTAGAAATTAAACCAAAAAACACGAAATATTTCATCAAAACTGAAAAAACAATTATAAGATAACATCAAATATTAAGATATTATACCTAATAATCTAATGTGTAAATGTGATATGAAGTTAAAGAAATAAAGTCGCAATTGCGAGAGAAAAAAAAAGACAGAATTAAGACTTTATATCTCACAATTCTGACTTTATATCACGTAATTCTGAGAAAAAAAGTCAGAATTGTGAGATAAAATGTCGCAAAATTTTTATTTTTCATTCTGTGCCGGAAACAGGCCTCCTAGGGCAGCGAAGCAAGTGAATTCTGGGAGTTGTTGTCTTTTATCCACATAAGCCAAAAATAAATTTTCTGGCTTTTCTCAGTCTAGAAATCTCCAAATACAAAATTAATTTCACATTTCTTCTACATAAATGACCCATTTTATATACACATTCATCTGTCCAGAGGTGGAGTGTCCCTGTATTTTCAGCATCATTACTCCAGTCTTCAGTGTCACATGATCCTTCAGAAAACACTCTAACATGATGATCTGATGCTCAAGAGACATTTATTATTACCACCAATGTTGAAAACAGTTCATATTTTTGTGGAAACTGAGATGCATTTTATTTTTCGGGATAATTTGATGAATAGAAAGTTAAAAAGACCAGCATTAATTTACAACAGAAAATCTTTTGCACCATTATTTATTTTGCTGTTTTGAACATGAACAATATCAGGCAAATTCTTTTTTAATAGTGACGTTTCGGTTTTTATTATCCCTTACCATATATATAGTACATCAATAAAAGTAATAAAATAATAAAATAAAATAAATTAAATTTCAAAATATAAAATCAAATCTAAAACATTTAAAAAAAAAAACACACAGATAAATATAAAATCTAAAACGGCACAGATAAAGGGAAATAATGTCATAAATGCCCAGATCAGCAGGCCAGGGCCGATCTAAGAGTTGCATGGAGACTGTGTCTTATCTAGAGTATCTCCAAAAGTCAGTGTTGGGGAGTGTGTACGCGTTTACCTGCTCGCTCATCTGTGTGTTTAGTGTTAAATAAAGCAAATTCAGCTTTTTTCAGTATTATGTCGTTTAGTCCCAATCTCTAACGGTGTCCTGTATTAAAAGTGACGGTCTGGGTGATTTCTGTGTTGTAGTTGAACAGTGTTGGATGAGCGTCCCCTTAGGAAAGCCATGTTATAGCCGGGTCAGAGACAGTGTTCGTGAAGGAGCACGCGGTCTCATTGTGCAGTAGTGGATATAGCGCCATCTTGTGTTGTTAGTGTAGTTTGCAGTGGTAAGGAGTGTGTCCACTGGAGCAGGATACTTGGGTATATTGCTAATCTAGTTAGGAAGCTCAAAGTGAAGATCAGCGTTTATTTTAGAAATATATCTAGCTTTACTTTTAATGCCAAAAAAACCTTGTGGAAGCTAGTTCTGCGAAGGTCATGTGATCACACTGATACGGGCTAAACACACACACACACACACACACACACTCAGTAGCTGCAGTGTCTCCAGCGAAGGCCTCGTGTGTTGTCAGTCTCACTTCCAGGTGGCGGGGAACGGTGGCCTCACGCTGCCGGATCTGCTGCCCTTTGACCCCAGCGACTGACCCGACCGGCTCCTGAGGTCAGCGCTCTCGCTCAGGGCCTGCTCCTCGTCATATCTGAGAGAGAGAGAAATTAATTTTTACATTTCAAAAATAAAATGAGAACATATATAAACCCACAGAAAAAAATTCAGAACCGTCACATCATCATAAATCATCATCAATACACCATATTTCAATAAAACTCCTGACATCATTTACATATGCGTACTCCACTCCAAGCCTAATCTCCTAAACTAACTTCAGGATCTGTGGATTCAGCACTTGATAGAGACACACACTCACAGCACTTGATAGACACACACACACACACACTCACACACACTCACAGCACTTGATAGTGTCCCAGAGCCTCTTTGGGCAGACAGCGGTTCCAGCGGCAGTCCGGGATCTCGCCGTTCGGGGTCACGATGTTCAGCGTGTCGTTGATCAGGTTGTACTTCAGAATGCGGTCGTTGGCCGTGCTGGAGGTAAGGGATGGGGACGCATTCACCTGACACACACACACACACCGTTACAGCTGACTACAACTATTAACAGTACGTTACAGTCACTGAAATGGAGATTAATATAAATATTAGGTGAAGAACAAACTTAAATTACTGAAACCAAAACTAGAAATGAAATAAAACAAGTTTAAGTTGAACTACTAAAATGATTAAAAACTTAATAAAAAAGAAGCACAATACAAAAAATTAGAAATTAGGTACTGTAATATTAAAACTAAATAGAAGTATTAAAAAAAGACTAAAACAACTGTAATAAAGTGTTTAAATGCAGAAATACAGATATAAGTAAAGATAAATAGAGTTTTAGAAAACTGATGATGATATCGGACCTCGATCAGCCACGGCTTGAGCCGGTCGTCGATGATGATGTCATAACCGTAACACTCGAAACAGTGCTTGTCGTTATTCATGACGGGCTGCAGCCGAGAACAGAAACACGTTATTATTATAATTATTGTGAATGACTCGTCTTAGTCTTCCGTATCCGAACGCTACATCCTCATGCCGGACAGATGCGGTGATGATCTGTGGATGTTTTGACTTACAGCCACGGCTTTGAGCGACTGGACGATGATCCAGTGGATCTGGTCAAACAGGTGGTTGGTGACGTCCCGTCCTCTAGTGCTCTCCAGATAGAGGCGCAGGTTACCCACCGTCCACTTCCCGCCGTGAACGTGATTGTAGTCGTCCTGCGCTCAGACACAGACATGCTATATACAGTATATACAGTACTGTCTGATCAGCCATGAGGTGTTTATACAACCAATCAACTGAGTTTACCACAGGTGGACTCCAATCAAGACCATCTCAAGGAGGAACCTGACCTCAATATTGAGTGTCATGGCAAATTTTGTCATGTGTCATTTTTAATAAATTTGCAAAGATTTCAAACAAATTTCTTTCACATTGTCATTATTGTTTGTAGAATTTTCAGGAAAATAATTTAATCCATTTTGGAATAAGGCTGAAATATAACAAAATGTTTATGTTGTAAACAAAGTGCTGTGGATACTTTCTGGATACACTAAATATTACTGTTGTAATCTCACTGTTTTTCTGTGAACCAACATTATTATAGTTATTATAAAACAGGGCCGTAACCACCATAGCAGGGGCGTAGCACCTCGTAATACCCGTTTATTCTGACCTTTGTCTAATTTACAGGTTTTATTTTTCTTATTTCTTATGTTTAACCGGCTATAAGAAAATACACTGCCAACAGTAACCAATCATTTTTTATTTTATAATATTTTGTCCTAGTGACAAGTTTATTATTGTTTTATGTACTACAGACTTTTATCAAGTCATGATGGATTTGTCCAAATTGTAACTTTTAATCACAGAATAAGGCAGTATATTTGATAGTTTCTACTGTAATAAAGGCTGTCTCCGAAGATGAAACATAAAAATATATTGCTGCAATGATGTTTTTAATGTCTTCACGTTTCATCAGTCAGAATTTTTCTGCATTTCTACTCGCTGCAGCGATGGCTGGATGTCTTAGTCCATATGAGGGATTTCCTGGAACAAGTTATGAATTCATGACTTCATGCGAGAGAGCGCCCTCCAGCTTCAGTATATATATATGAAACACACATTACATGAGAGTCAGGTCATGCATGAGTATCCTGTCTCAGGGACCCGAGGTTACGCAAGTAACCAAGTATTGCGTCTTTATTGGAAGCTATGGGGAAACTCCTTTTTCTTTCATTCAAAAGCCTTTCGGGTGCTCTGCGCTCACTTGGCGGGATGTGCTACTATTGATAGTAAACAAAGCACACTTGCTAACCAGTTTGAACATCAATCACACTGATCACTTCACTATAGTCAGTTCATGTTCTCATTAAAATATTCCTGCATTCGAAATGCTCATGTAAGACGATGGTGTCTGAAGCATGTGTAAAATTAAGTCAATCTTACTGGCCGACAGCAGTCCAATGAAGCGCCTGCATGTATGAAAGGGTGCTTGCATTACACGCCGTCAGATTTGAATTGTCTGAAGGAAGACGAGAAGGCATGTCTGAAGCATGGCAATGCAACGCAGTGTCTCATACTCAGGGAACTGGTGTTACACCAGTAGTCCAAGACGTCACTGTGGTGAGGGGGGCGTGGTTTTCGCGTCGGCTGTAGTGAGAGATGAGTCAATGAGCGGTGCGGTGAGTAAGTGGGTCAAGTTCAGATCATGAACACCTGTACCTGATTGCAGTGATTGGTGTGGGGAGACTGATAAAAGCCGCACAGCGGGAGAATGGAGGAGAGAGAGAGCGGAGTGGAACTTGTGCTGTTTGCTGTGGAAAGAGTTTGTGGACAAAGAACTGAGAACTGAGAACTGTGGATTGAGAACTGTGAACCGGGAAGCTGATCGTTATCGAGGTGGAAAGAGTTTTTGTGAATGAGAATTGCTGTAGCACGGACTACGGTGAACACGCTGTGTGCGCGGCTTCTTGTTTTGTATTATTCTGAGTAATAAACACAATACGAGTTCCAGTATCGCCGACCCTGTCTCCTTCTTCCTATCATATTGTTTTGAACCTCGTTAAACTGGTGCCGAAAACCCGGGAAGAAGGAGTCTGCCGCCGCCATGCAGAACCCGTCAGGATCGCCATTTGCGGAGATCATCCAGACACTCACGGCCCTTCTGAGAGATCAACACCAAGCCCTGCTGAGCGTGAAAGAGGAACATGAGCAACACTTTCAGGTGCTGCTCCAAGGCCAGCAGGAAGACCACGAGTTGTTCCAGAGCTGTTTAGACCGGGAGATTCCCGCCACCCCCTCTACAACATCCACCACGGCCTCACCGCTGACCATGGGAAAGATGGGTCCACAGGACATTCCTGGACCTGTTCGAAAGGTCGGCCGAGGCCCGGGGGTGGCCCAAAGAAGACTGGCCTCTGCGTCTCATCCCACTGCTGTCCAGAGAGTCGCAGATCGCCGCCCACCAGCTGCCAGTCTCGAATCTCCTGGTCTATCAAGATATACGGTGCACCATTCCTCAGCGGGTCGGCCGGACCCCTGAACAGCACCGACAACGCTTCAGGTCCTTGACCCTTGAAGAGTCCATTCGGACCTTCATGATGGCGCAACAACTCCGGGACTCCTGCCGCAGATGGCTGATGGCCGGGGGAAGCGACGTCGAGGAGATTATCGATCAGGTGGTACTGGAGCAGTTTATTGGGAAGCTACCCAAGAAGACTGCACAATGAGTCCAGTGCCACCGCCCGACGTCGCTGGACCAGGCCAACCAACTGGCGGAGGATCACATGGTGGCGTGCTCTGGGGTTGGCGAATCCCTCCCATCTGTCTCTCTCTCTTCCCCCGTCTCTCTCTCTCCTCCCCCTCTACCAATCCTCTCCCCGCTCCCAGGTCTCGAGAAGGTCTGGCCCCCGACCAGCGCCGAGGTGGAGGTCCGGGTGATCGGGGGACACCAGTTCCGCCGGAAGGACGGCTCTGAAGGGGAAGCCTGCTGGGCACTTATCCAGCCTGGCTCTGGTGGCACCACTATCCCCACGTCAATCCCTTGGCCCACTTCCCGCCGCTGGGACAGCGGTAAAACCTGGGCCAGCTTGATGGCGCTGTGGGGACCCGGGCCATTTTATCGACCGGTGTCCAGTGAAGGAGGTGGGGACACTGGTTCGGGTCCCCGACGCGCCAAGGGCTGCACCCGATCAAGCTGGCTTGTACCAGATACCCTTGAGTATCAAGGGGGGTACTTATCAGGCTTTGGTGGATTCAGGATGTAACCAAACCTCTATTCATCAAAGCCTGATTCGGTCTGGGGCATTGGATAAAAGCCGCATGGTTAGGGTTCTGTGTGCACGGGGTGGTGGAGAGTTACCCTTTAATGTCTGTGGCGATTCTATTTAGGGGACAAAAACATAGTGTGAAGGTGGCAGTTAACCCGCACCTCCGGCATCCGCTAATTCTGGGAACTGATTGGCCAGGCTTTGCGAAACTATCGGGGTTTTTATGTGCGGATGCCTCTTGGAAAAAGAAGCAGCAGGAGAAGACAGCGGTGGTTCAGGTGGGAGATGCTGTACCGGGACCTCTGGGTACTGCTGTAGGGGAAGAGAGCACTCTAGAGAGATATATCCTCTCGGAGTGCGATGATTTTCCCCTAAAACAGTCCCAGGATGAGACACTAAAACACGCGTTTGATAAGGTCCGTTCCATCGACGGTCAGGTACTCCGCCCGGACCAACCACTCTCTTACCCCTATTTTAGCATGATTAAAGACAGGTTGTTTTGGGTGACCCAATACGCCCAGGCAAAGGAAGATACAACCCAGTTGTTAGTACCAAAGAGCCGCCGGGACATGCTTTTCCAGGCGGCTCAATGTAATCCGATGGCCGGACATTTAGGGCAATGGCAACACTAAACCGTCTCACGGCCTGATTCTTTTGGCCGGGCATTCACGAGAATGTGCGCAGGTGGTGTGCGTCTTGTCATGAATGTCAGTTGGTTAATCCACCGGCCAACCCAAAAGCACCCTTGTGCCCCCTTCCGCTGATGCAGGTCCCCTTTGAACGATGGTATGGACCTCATCGGGCCATTAGAAAGGTCAGCACGAGGGCATCGCTTTGCGTTAGTCTTGGTAGATTACGCAACGCGATACCCGGAAATAGTCCCGCTTCGCAATTTCCCCCTTCGAGCTTCTCTTCGGTCGTCAGCCCCGCGGGGTGTTAGACGTGCTGAGGGAGACTTGGGAGGACGGACCCTCCGCTAGCAAAAACGAAATTCAGTATGTCCTGGACCTGACAACAAAACTCCACACATTGGGGCGGCTATCATTCGAGAATTTGGACGGTTCCCCGGCCTGAGTCGGGCGGTGGGGGTATGTGGTGAGGGGGGCGTGGTTTTCGCGTCGGCTGTAGTGAGAGATGAGTCAATGAGCGGTGCGGTGAGTAAGTGGGTCAAGTTCAGATCATGAACACCTGTGTCTGATTGCAGTGATTGGCGTGGGGAGACTGATAAAAGCCGCACAGCGGGAGAATGGAGGAGAGAGAGCAGACTGAAACTCGTGCTGTTTGCCGTGGAAAGAGTTTGTGGACAAAGAACTGAGAACTGTGGATGGAGAACTGTGAACCGGGAAGCTGATCGTTATCGAGGTGGAAAGAGTTTTTGTGAATGAGAATTGCTGTAGCACGGACTATGGTGAATGCGCGGCTTTTTGTTTTGTATTATTCTGAGTAATAAACACAATACGAGTTCCAGTATCGTCGACTCTGTCTCCTTCTCCCTATCATATTGTTGTGAACCTCGTTACAGTCACCTTTTTGTAGGGAACACAATGTTGAGTCAGTTGCTGATGCTGTGGGGATGTTAAAACCCACTACGCCATGCTGATCAATGCCTGTGAAGGTCACTAAGCACAATCTTGCCACAACCAATTAGGGCGCATACTCGGACACCTCCCTAGAAAGCTGAGAGTAATAGAAGACCGGAAATAAACCCGAAGCCTCCCTTCTCAACGGTTTCTAGAAGCTTGAGCGAACCCAGAGCAGACATGCAGACAGATCAGACCTGAGCACAAGCCTGAGGGAGCAGCGTATCAAAGAGAGCAGACACGGGAAAATCCCCAAATATCCAGACTAATGAGCTAGACAGGCAACAGATGATGTGGCGCTAACCGTGACACAACCATTCCACCCTGTCAGAGCCCCGCTCCGTCTGTCGAGTAGCCCAGGCGCTGAAACATCAACTGTCGATGCTGTTCTCGTCCTTCATAACTCGTACTCAGAAGGATATATCGGTGTAAATAGTTGTGCAACACTGTAGTTTGCACAAAGCGGCTTCCTGAAGACAACAAAGCTGATGGCATGTAATGCAGGCACTGGTGCTCAACATGACATAATTGGACTGCCGCCGGCTAATGTAATGTGGCTTGATTTCACCCATGCTTCAGACACCGGGCTCTGCGAGACGCGTCCCTATTTGTGTGAGTGACTGAGTTCCTCCAAGCAGCAGCTGATTCAGACTGCTGTAAGTACACAGACTCTAGCTGTGGGTGTGAATGACTTACGCCGTGCTTCTGGATGGCCACGTTGGTGAGGTGCACGAACATGTTGTCCAGCTCACTGGTGCTGGGCGTGTATTTGACCGTGCAGAAGCGGCAGAAGCCCAGTTTGTACCTGAAACACAGAGCGTTCAGTGCGGATGGAGTGATGCAGTGGCGTGCGGCGGTCACACACTCACATGTAGCACTTCAGCGGCCTGTAGCTGGTCACCAGCACGTACAGACGCAGGTCGAACTTCTTCCCGCCGATCAGCAGAGGGTTGTCGATGTACAGAGAGATGACGTAGGCCTCCTTCCCGCTGTTCGCCGCCACGAACCTGTCAAACGCCAGCGTTTCAGACAGAAGACAGCCGCTGATGACACTTTTACTGTGATATATTTACTATTAGGGGTTCACCGATATGAGCATTGGGCCGATACCTTTATATTTAAAAGCCGGTAACCAATATATTGGCCGATTAATCTAAATCCAAATTTTAACATAAATTTAATGGCCTGATTTCAAAAACTGAAAATTATGTCATTAATGACTCTCATGTCGACCCAAGCCCGTCAGACCGCCGTTCATCTTCGGGACACAGTTTAAGATATTTTAGATTTAGTCCGAGAGCTTTCTGCTTTCTTACGTGGATCCACAACAGAACCGGAAGACAATGCTGAATAAAGTCGTAGGTTTGTTATTTTTGGACCAAAATGTATTTCCGATGCTTCAAAACATTGTAACTAACCAACTGATGTCACATGGACTGCTTTGAGGATGTCTTTATTTCCTTTCTGGACAAGGACAGTATACCGTACACACATTTCCAACGGAGGGACAGAAAGCTCTCGGACTAAATCTAAAATATCTTAAACTGTGTCCTGAAGATGAACGGAGGTCTGACGGGCTTGGGACGACATGAGTCATTATGACATCATTTTCCTTCTGGGTGACCTATCCCTTTAAGGCAGCCCTCGCTACATGGCGCTCTTACGTGGAGGTGCGGCTGTCGCGGGACCACTTCTTGATCTGAGAGAGCTTGTTGATGAGGAAGATGCCTTTTCCCTGCGCCTTCCCGCACGGCTTCATGATCCACGTGCTGGACGGGCTCTTCCGGAACTCCTCCACGAACAGATTGTAGTCGGCCGGCAGCATGAACGTCACCGGCACGAAATCTGTGGCCAGAGTCAGAGAGTGAGTGACCGACGGCACACACGAGAGAGACGGAGGCGAGAGGAGGAGAGCAGCAGCGGGTTTTACCCAGGTAGAGGTATTTCCCGCTCTCGTCCTTCTCGGCCAAGGGACTGGCCTCCTTCTCCAGGTCTTTGCGGTAGCGCTTGATGTTCTTGATCATCAGGTCCTTCCTGGTCAGCTCGTAGTGGTTGGGGAAGTGGTTGACCATCTGCTCGTCAGTCAGCCGGTAGCCGGTGTCCACGCTGAACACGCTGCGGATGGTCTGGATGCTCATCCTGCCAAAGAGATCACTGCAAACATGACACCTGTGTGTGTGTGTGTGTGTGTGTGTGTAAATGAACCCTGTTCACCAGTGCTGGAATGACTACAGCAACCTGTTCGGCACAGGGGATTGTGGGTAATGTCCGCCTAAACCAATGCAATGTTTGTAACACTTTAGTATTGGGAACCCATATTCACTTGTAACAAGTATTGCCTCAATAAAACTCATAATATACTGCTTATAAACAGTTTGTAAGGTAGCGCTGCACTCAACGTCGTGACTGAACTGAAGTGATGTCCACATCCCTCTGATGAATTCGGTCTGATATTACACACACACCTGGATTTGCAGATCTGCATTAGATACTGGTGTGTACAAAACCATTAAAACTAATGATTTTAAATAGAAACATGTTATTTAGTAATATAAAAAGCATAACAATACTTTACAGTGAACACAATGTGTCATTTCAACAAATTAATTATTTTTCTATATTACTGCATTTTCCACTGAAATTCTCAGCACTGTAATGTGTCCGGCTTCATTTGAATGTACGTGGTAATATAAACAAATCCAAATAAAATAATTCTGAAGAAAAATAAATGGATGTTTTGGTAGATTTATTTTAGCCAATAATTTATTTACTCAATATTCATGTATAATAATAATGAAGAAAAAAAAAAGTGTATGGTGCGGCCGAGCTTCGTTTACAGTTTCATTAATGACATAATTTTCATTTTTGGGTGAACTAACTAAAGCCATTATTCCAGATCTACAAACTGCCAGTCTTTGTTTTGTTTTTTGTTGTTTTTTTATTGTTATGCATTTTTGAAGCACTACAAAATAAAACTGATCTGAACCTGAATCCATGATTGTGAAAATATTATTATGTTTTTAAAAAAAGCCTAGTATACTTATTATCATTACTGGAATAATCAACCTCATATCCGTATCTTGTGTATCATCACCACAACAGATGTTAATTAAATGTTAATCTAATTAATAGAAAAATATTAGTTTGGTTATAAAATG